GTAACGGCGTTGTTTTCTTATAGAAAACGGGTATAATAGAAGAAAAGCGAATGCCAGTTCAAAAAGGAAAAAAATAATAATAATAATAGTCGAGAAAAGTGAAAGATGATCACAAATTAAACCTTAGATATATTTATTTATTTATTACACCACAAAACAATATTCTAACAACAGCGCTGCGGATTAAAAAGTTATTTTTGCATTTGATGTGAATCATCATCAAGGGCAAGGCTTTCCCCATTCTGCCACCTAATTCTTGCAATCTTATACATTTTCTCGCGGTATATAGAAGTTGCTCAAATGGAGATTCCTGATCAGAAGAATCCTTGTAGCAACTATTAATTTTAAATTTTGGAATTTCCAAAACTCAAACATTAGGAGTGGGATGGGAATTAATTTGAAGATTTGGAGAGGACTGCTCTTGTTATATAACCCAGAGCTCATTTGCCTCTCATTGAACAAAAACAAGATTTTAGTATCTTTTCCTACACAGCCACACCAAAACCAAAGGCATAACTAGTTAATTTAGAGCTCCAAGATATTTTTGGACTGGACCAGTCATAAACCAAGATCCCAACTTAATAGTGTAATTTTTAAAAAAAAAATCATAGTCCACTGTTTCAAACTCTGACTCAAGTTGAAAGTTCGGATCTTTCCAATAACAGTTTGAATGGGAAAATTCCTCTTCAACTCGTAGAGTTGTATTCTCTGTCCTCTTTCAGTGTTGCCCACAATGACCTATCTGGTAAAACACCTGAGATGATTGCAGAATTTTCAACATTCAACATGAGTAGCTACGAGGAAAATCCTTTACTATCAGAGGCTGGAAGCTGCTGGTGTAAAATAAATCTGAAATGTGACTTGTTTCGACATTTCAATGTGAAGATTTAATTAATCAATCTTATCTCATCACCATAGTATAAATTATGTCTGTGAAGTTGTGTTCTTTGTTTGTAATGAAGAAAATCATTTCTTGGGTATAAGTAAAAAAAGAGAGAGAAGAGAGAGAGGTATTGAGAAAGAAAAAAAAACGTTATATTATATATTAAAAAAAAAAAAAAAAAAACTAAAAAAAGTGAGGGTATAACTATTCATTTCTTGTAGCTACACACTCAAAATCCCTATTCATATATGTTTTTTTTGCATCTTAGTCCCTCATTTTTTGAGAGATAAATTAATTAGTCCTTTGGTTTGAAAACTAATTTTTTTGGTCATTTTCACCATTTTACTATTTTTATTTTTTCTTTTAAGAAATAGAAAAAAATAATAATAATTCTTTGGAGAATAAATTAATTAGTCCCTTTGGTTTGAAAACTATTTTTTTTGTCCTTTTGGCCATTTCGTTTACTATAGCAGCTTCCTCCTCTTTTTTTTTTTTTTTTTTAACGCCGTCCATTCTTTCGGATCCAATCATATATATTAACTTCTTCACTCATGCATCGTTCTTCATTTTTCAATGAATAGACTCTGCAACTTTCATTGCCTTGGAAGTAATATAATTTATTGACTAATTTATCCTCTTTTCCAACTATTAAAGTATTTATAGGACTATTATTATAGTTAATAATTATAATATATTATCATTATATTTTACAAAAAAAAATTGTTTTTTTTTTAATGTCTAGCCTTCTTTTTTTTTTTTCAGTTTCTATATTTATAGGATTATTATTATATGGTCAAATATATTATTTGGTCCTTATTTATTAGAAATATATTTTGTTTAAAAAATAAAATTATTTATAGTTAATAATTATAATACATTGTCATTATATTTTACAAAAAATATCAAATAAATATTATAAAAATGGTTATTTGTATTTTGATTATGAACATTGTATTTATGCGGTGTTTTTTTGTTTTTTTTCTTAACGTCTCGTATCATTTTTTTTCAGTTTCTATATTTATAGGACTATTATTATATGATCAAATATATTATTTAGGTCCTTATTTATTAGAAATATATTTTTTTAAAATAATAAAATTATTTATAGTTGATAATTATAATATATTATCATTATATTTTACAAAAAGAAAATATCAAATAATTATTATAAAATAGTTATTTGTATTTTGATTGTGAATATTGTATTTATTATACAATATAATACCTTTTTATTATTTTATATAATGATATAAATAATATATTGATATATTATTTTAAGAATTTGAATATATATAAAAATTGATAAGTATTTTAGTAATATAATATATTTGATAATTATACCATATAATTAAATTAATATTACATTGTATTAGTTAAATACTATTTTAAATATATTGGCACAATAATATAATATTTATTAATAAATGATTTATTTAAATATCAGATGACAATTGTTCCTCTTCTATATAAATAATTTTTTTATATTTTTTTTATCATGAAATTAGGTGTGGAAATATAAAAAAAAAAAAAAAGATCGTTATTATTATTATTATTATTATTATTTATGTATAGTTTGAGAGTAATAAAATGTATATGATATTTTTTAAAATTTTAGTTTAAACATATATATCTGATTATATTATTTTTATTATTTAAAATTTATTTCTTCAATTGTTTGTTTCTTATTAAAATTCTCATCGAATTAATTTTTAAATTTTATATGATTTTTAGTTGTCAATAAATTTGATTTTTTTATACATAGCTTTTGAAATAAAATTTTAGAACTCGATTGTTTTATTTTTTTAAAATATATTATTATAATTTATATGATTGATTATTTTTATGATTTTTCAATGAAAATGATGTTGTTGCACGTATAAATTCCGATGAGAAAAAAGAGCTAGAAGGATTGAGGTTTTTTCTATTCATTTACCGTAGCGTTTTATTTATTTATTTACTTTTTAGTGTCGGCCTAGAGAAGCAGTGCTCCAAGCAGCTAGCTCGGCTCATTTTACTCGTAAATTTTTTTTTTTTAGGTTGGCCTAGAGAAGCATTTACCTTTTTTTTATAGGGGTGGCCCTAAGAAGTGTGCTCAAGTAAGTCTAAACAAGTAGTCCCAACCAAGCATTTGCCTTCTTCTTTTTTCCTTCGAATATTTTATTTTTATATTTTTTATCATGAAATTAGGTGTGAAAATATAAAAAATATCATTTTTTTTTAATTTTTCATACATTTTTATGGTAATAGAATATATATAATGTTTTTTTAAAATTTTAGTTTAAACATATATATCCGATTATGTTATTTTTATTGTTTAAATTTTATTTCTTCAATTGTTTGTTTCTTATTAAAATTCTCATCGAATTAATTTTTTAATTTTATATAATTTTATTTGTCAATAAATTTAATTTTTTATATATAGATTTTGAAATAAAATTTTAGAACTTGATTGTTTTATTTTTTAAAATATATTATTATAATTTATATGATTGATTTTTTTTTTATGATTTTCAAATGAAAGTAGCGTAATTGCATATATAAATTCCGATGAGGGAGAGAAACTAAAAATGTATTTTAGATAATTTTACTTAATTTTTAAAAAAATAATAATCGGTTAAAAAATTAATTTGACTCAATTTTTTAAAAAATTAATATATATACCAACCGTACGCAACTCGCTTTTTTTTTCTTCGTATAATTTATTTTATATTTTTAAAATTTTGGGTACCAATCTCATGATAGAACAAAAAAAAAAGGCTAATTATTTTAAATCTTGATGTGTTTTAAGATTGGATCACTAAGAGACGAAAGGAAACCCTTAAAAGAATATACATTTTATCATAGCATAACTAGATCTCTAGCAAGCGATGTATAGGTTAAGCGGTTATATATAATTGGTTCCTTTACCAAGAAAGAAAACATATATATTTTTAATCCCTTTAATATCCCCGAACCAATATTAATTTTATATTTGACATTAATATTAACATACATATATGATTATTTTATTCTTATTATTTAAAAAAATTTCTTCAATTATTTGTCTCTTATTAAATTTCTCATTAAATTAATTTTTTGATTTAATTTTATTTGTTAATAAATTTGATTTTTTAATATATAAATTTTGAAATAAAATTTTAAAACATCAATGTTTTATTTTTTAAATATATTATTATAATTTATACAACAAATTATATATATATATATATATATATATATATATATATATATATATATATATAGAGAGAGAGAGAGAGAGAGAGAGAGAGAGAGAGAGAGAGAGAGAGAGAGAGAGAACTAAAAGTATGTTTTAGATGGTTTAACTCAATTTTTTTTAAAAAATAATAATAATGAGTTCAAAAAAGTCATAAGTTTTATTTTATATATATATATTTATTCAGAATTTATCGAATCAATTTTATTGTAGTTTTTATTTTAATCTATTGACTTCAATATATTTCTACAATTTAGGTGATTTTTTTCTATTTATTCTATATACTCGAATTGCATACACACACACACACATATGTGTGTGTGTGTGTGTGTGTGTGTCATTAGTTTCGTTAGAAATTAACTATATATAGATTTGATTTATATTAATCACCAAAAATAAAACTTTCTACTTATATTACACCATACAAATTGTTAACGCTACGTATGTAACGGTTGTCCGCCCGCAAGCATAGCGTGGGCATCCAACTAGTTCGAGCTAGAAGAACTTTGTTGGTTCAAGGGCAGAACTGAGTCGTGCAAGAAAACAAATAACTTAAATAATTGGGAAATGAAGTTTCATGAGTTATAGTTCCAATTCCAAGAAAACATACAGTGGGTATTTGCATCAGATGCAAGCAAAATTAAGAACGTCATATTTTGAGGAAACCTCCAGGCAGTTTTATTCATAAAAGAAATTTAGAATATGGAGAAGGAAACTTCATCATCATAACTAGTATAATATGAATTAGATACCTGTTGATTTCTTGGGTTGGCACTCAAACTTGCAATGCATTTTGCAAATCCTAAAAATGTGAATTTACATAGCCGAAATATCTACTTCGTCATATGCTTCGGGAGAATGACTTCCTATGGCCTCAACTTATCATACTCCACTTTGAGCAGCTTAGTGGTTTGAAGTCTGAGGCAGCCTGAAAGAACCCCCAGCATAAAGCATCTCATAGACAGGCCTTATCCTCATAGTTAGAATAATGCTCAACAAGGATCCCAAACCACAGACACCAGCCAGAACCAAGAAGGTGAGCCTGAAGCAATTTGGACCCAAGCAGGAGATGCTTGAATTGGACAGCAGATTTGATCCATGCTGCTTTGCTGCCTCAGTATCATATACATAGCCTGCCAGGAGACCTGAGAAAAGGAACGCACCAAGAGGATTTCCTAGTGACATGAAGTTGTAAAATAAACCAAAATGCTTCAAGCCGAAAAGCTCAGAGACAGTTGGTATCATTATCGAGAACTGAACTCCATAGCAGATCCCAAGTAATGCTGTTGCAGCGTAAAGGGTTCCATCAATTGCAGAAGCAAACAAAAGGTATGTTATGATCATCATTACTTGAGTGCATGTCATCCATATTGTCCGAGGGATTGCTTTTGACCTGCAAAGAATAAATTTCCAACACATGAAAATAATACTACAACACAAAAATATAGTAGCCTGTAGTGATTATTCTTTTGGCACAATAGTCAGACCATTACGAAGGACTAAATACAGAATTTTTAGGATGTCCTGGGGACAAAGTTAAAGGAAATATGACAAGTAACATTTATGTGACATTTTGGAAGAACATGAGATGTGTTTATTATGCATTTGCTTTCTCCCTCTCAGTATCGATATCTGATGCATATAACAGAAGAAAACTGATGCAACCTACTTCTCACAGTATGCTCACAATGTCAAATGGATGGAGAGACAGTTGTATTCCTGGCACCAAGTCCCTTCATGACACAACTTGAGAGTGAAGAATCATTTTGACATATGAACAAGCTTCCGATACGAAGTCTTCTTAATAATACTATAGTCACCAATGGCCTTTCTGTGTTTTACATATCGTTTAGAAAATCACTGGCTCTAAGCCAAGACTTGGTCTAGATGATTTGGATTCTTAATCATTTAAATCAAGAGCATATAAATCAATTAGGCATCAAAATCCAGAAAATTTGAAGATAACGAACTTCATGATTAGCCAAAAAAGAAAGAGTAGTAACCTGACAAAATGTTCAGACACGGTACCCCCACCAAGGCGCCCCACAAAATTGCAAAAGCTGAAGAGTGACAACAAGATTGTAGTATCATGCACACCTTGCGCAATTCCTATCTGGGCAAGATTATTGAGGACTGTTACCCCAGATCCAACACCCACAAAGTATACAAAGAAAAGAAGCCAGAAATCAGCCTTTATTAGGGCTTCAGTAAATCTGAAATCCTCCCCTCTTTTAGGCCTCCTCTTCTTCTTAACAGCCCCTTCTCCCTCAGCTAGAAGCATAGCCACCTCAGATGCCTCGTCATTTTCCTTAAAACTTCCAAGGGCCGTTGTTGATGAAGATGATTTCAGCAGCGGTTCAGTTTTGTCTGCATCGTCTTCTTGTATCACACAGTCTGAGGACTCAACTGGCTGGTGATGCATCCCTGGTTTACTGACTCTCATGCGATGAAATGTCATTTTTATGGGTATTGCAAACGGAGCCATGAGAAGGACAACCATTATAACAAGAAAGGTATTAGATATCGGAGCACTGAAATGAAATATGTGATCCAACATTGTGGTTGTTAGAACATATAAGCCCAGTACAATAAGAGCTCCCTGAGTGAAAAGAAAATGGGCAGGTTCTGAAGAGTCTTCACCTGAAGCAGGAGTACAAGCTCTTACAAAATACATGACTATGAAACATAGAACAGGAATTCCAAGTGCAAGAAACATCAGAAGCTCAGAGGAGGACTTGCGGAGCAGAGTACTATAAATTTCAGTAAATACTGCAGCACTAATTCCACCATAACCTTTAAGAATACCAGCAACAGTGCCTCTACTAAGAGGAAAGTTTCTCATGTTGGTTACAAGAACAGCTGTGCTCAACCAAGCACTACTATTGGTGGCAACACAGAGCGCAAGCCATAGCTGCAATACCGTGAAGTGTAAAACAATATGACTTTAGTCCTTCTGTTGGAAAATTTTAAAAAACTAAGCATAATGGGCACATATGCCTCTCAACCAAAGAAAGATGATGAAGGCTTGGTGAAATTAAATAAGCATTAAAGTATCTGAGCACAGAATATTTGTGACAAATTACAAAGCAAACCACATGAACCAGTAACTATATCCAAATTTGCAAAAAAACCTTACTTCTATGCATAAACAACCAGGAAGGAAAGCCTTACTCCTATGCATAATAGTGATTGGCTATCCTTTAACACTTCTGTCGGTCATATTTGTTATGAGAAATGATATGGAAGCTAATTTTACTAGACAAAAAGGTAGAGAACCTCGAACTCGAATGCAAAAGTGCAAGGGGGTGGAGTTGCAGCAGATTGTGAGTTAAAATCCTATTATCAAACTCATTTTTTACCATTTTTTGCTTTAGCCACAAAAGGAGGACTGCCTGATGCTCTTTCAGCAGCGAAGTGGAATCCTTACTTGTAAGAACATACTTGTTTTCAATCAAAAAGGAATATGTGTATGGTCCTTCATTATTTGCATTTTTTGCTCCTATATTGTCTTCTTATTTCAATATTTTTATCCTTTTCATAGTGCCTAATTATTTCTTTACATTTAGTTTCTTTACTTTAATTGTCCAATTGCTTGTAAGTATCATTTCAGCTTTTCCCCACAAGCTTCATGAACGTTTCCTCACACTTGCAAGCAACCGAAAAAGCCAAATCTATTGGAACTTCACCAAATTATATCCACTAAGTTCATCAAAATTCTCTTCAAAACACCTTTAGAATGTCAAATCATTCCACTCGCTCATCATTAAAAAAAAAAACATTGCAATCCGAATCCAAGATCAGTGTAATTCACATGAAACACATCAATCTAATAGCCCCTAAACCATGTAAGCAATGACCACTCTACCTTCAACCTAAACCACAATCATATGAGAGAGAAGATAACAAGAAACAATTCACTAAAATCTCAATTCAATGAAAACAGCAAATGGGCATCAATTAGTTTCACAAAGGTCATTTAACAATTAGAAATAAGCATTAGCGATGAGAACTCACCAGCCAATACGGCATGGATTGTATTTTACTGCTAACAGCAAGCCAAAGAACACCATAACCGAAGAAGCAAGCAAAAGCACCAATCAAGAGAATAATCCAAGGAGGGAACTTGTTGCAAGCAATGCCAGGAATAAGCCCAACATTCTCACCAACATCATTAGCAACACCAAGCATGGTAAGCTGGTGCTGGTTAAATCCCAGAACAGATTTCAAAGAATGGGAATAAAGAGGGAAGTTGTAAGAATTCCCTGATGCTATTTGCACCCAAACTGCTGCTCCTAGTCCTACCCATGGCGGCCTTGTCCCAGCTTTCAAGTTCACCATTGTTGGCTGAAGAGGGTAGGGGATTAATTCTCTTTTTTGGGCTTGAAGGCAGGATGGAGAGAGAGAGAGAGAGAGAGAGAGAGAGGTGAGGGAGAAGATACAAGAGACTTTATTAAAGTGGGATCGGAGCTTGTAAGTACATGTGATGACTTGGCATTTGGACAAAGGCTGTATTAGTTCATGACTTTCCTCCATAGCAACTGGAATTTCCTTTTTTGTTTTTTTATTCTGTTTTTCTTTGTTTCATTTTTGGACAGAACTTAATATAAACTGTATTACGGATGTTGTTAGATTCTGCTTTCTTTTCTATAAATAGGGCATCAACCCAAACTCTAAAACATAAGTACTTACGATAATTTTAGTAAGAAGTAATGAAACGTAGTAGTAGTTTTAAGTGATATCTAGCTTAAAAATCACGGTGTGAATTAAATGGAAATCCATGCAAATTTACGAACATTGCAAAAACTTAATTTCCAGATTTTTTTTTAAGACTATGTTTCTGAATTAGTTTGCATGTGAATATTCAAATTGAATTCATTCTTTCTTTCTTGAGTATAGAAAAGACAACCATACCTAGATGATGTTCTAGTTAAAATAAATAAATAAATAATGGAAGCACCAGATTTTTTGTATTATTTTTTATTACTTTACTTCTATTCAACTGAAGAATTTGGTAGAAATATTTGAAGAATAAATAAAAAACAGGTAATTTTCTTTCTGGATCCCAACCCAAAAATAATAAAAAGCAAATGTGCTTACAATCTGAACAAACCTTGTAAAGCGTGATTTTAAAAATACAAGAAAAGGTCCAAAACTTGAAGCTAAGGTTGTAAGGATGATCTGTCCACTGACACCCCGCACAGGTACAGACACACACAGAGTAAATAGTTCGCCATGGTTCTCAAAACTCCAGTGCAGAAGGAGCATGAGCAGCACGTGACATACTGATGTGTCCCAAAGAAAGCACTTGGAACAAAAGCCGTTACGTGGGTCCAGTTGTGAGATTTCATAGGTTTTTGTATCTTTGTGTGATTTGGCCCACTTGATTTCTGTCGTGGGTCCACATAGATAGATACTTGTACTTCGTTGGTCGTATAGTTCCGAAGTTGGAACAATGCGTGACCAAAGCTTAAATATTTAGGAGACGTGTGTCAGAACTTAGGAGCCTGATTTTGTTTGGACCTTTGCTTTTTAGTCTTGTGCTTTTGTCGATTGTCAAATCAACCTATCTTTCCTTAGAAAATTCTTTATACAACTGACGATATCATAATTTATTATTAGCTTAGGATATCATAATTTATTATTTTTTTTATCTAAAATAATAATATTAAAAAAAACTAATTATCATCTCACTCATTTTTTAAAAGATTTATTGTAATGGAGTAATCAAGGTATGTGAGAATTTCTACTATTACAAGATTACATATATGTCTAGCCCTCCAATTTTGTTGAGAAATGAGAAAAACGTTTCAGATTTAAAGGTTAACCTTATTTTTTAATGAGAAAAATGTAGTAACACTAGAAATATTTTATTTTTATTCAAGTTCATTGCTGACTAGACATGACAATGCTATTTACAAGGTTTATTTTTCTGAAATTATGATATTTTGATTTATCATATTTAATAATAATATTCTAACAATTATGAAATAAAACAATTAATAAGCCATTGCTTATATACAAAGCCACCACATTAATTGGTAAAAAAAGTATATACTACAATTTCTAGCATCATTATTCAAAAATTTAAATAAGTGATCGTCTAACATTTCCAAAATTTCTAGAGTTTACTTTGCTTCAGAATTCTTATCTTAGAAAATTTTTATCAGAGCAGTGGGCTCCAATTATAAATGAAACATTGATAAGCAAGAATACCTTGCATCAAGTTTATTACTTCATGTGATTAAAATTTAAACCACACACACACATATACATACATATATATATATATCCCTCATCCACGCCAGAAATTTTGGTTGCTTAGTTTTTTTCTTGGACCCGCAAGACCAGTGGTCTATGTTTGTAGATGACTTCTTGCGTTTCTCCTACGGAAATTAGGGCAACACCAAGTAAATGGGCACCAACTATGGCAGTAGCGCCACGAAGTTATGTTTCCTTATCTTATGCAAAGCAAATCTTTTCACTAAAAAGCATATATTGAAAAATAAGAAAGGAAAGGGACCCCCATCTCCATCAAACTCTCCATTTCTTGAGTGATGAAATCTAACCTCAGTTATTTGGGCTGCACCAAGTGATATTAGCAAATAAACTAACGATGTACATTTTTTAGGGTTCTTCATTGGGCCCTCATCAACCTTTTTGCCAATCCCATTTTTTATTTTGCCAAACCCATTGTCGACACTTGACAGTCTCGTACGGCTTGGAATCACTGTCCTTATCGACCTCCTTAGGAGCCCATTTGCAGAAATCATTGTTTATTAGGTTTTTAAAAGCATTTCATACGCCAGATATAGTTCTTTCTTCAAAGGTAATCATTTCTTGAGTGTATAATATATATATTTATTTATTTAGAATTTTATATTCTCATCTGTAGGCCAAATAGAGGACAAAAAGGACTTAATGAAATGGCGCATGAAGCTTGCACCATATTGAAAAATAAAAGGAAATTAAAGGTTGAGCATGTCGTCCTCACGACTCATTATGGCAGCAATGATCACATAAACCTGCCAGACTCCTAAAAAAATAAAAAATAAAAACCTTGAGGCATAACCAGATTCAGATGTGGAAGTCTTCCAATATGCTGTGTTTACCCTTGCAACTTTCTTTTCTTTCCTTTTTTTCATCATAATTTTCCATCATGGATGGGGAAACCTAGCTAGCACTCTCAAAAATAAAAATTCCTAAGTATATATCAGTTGATCTCTTATTCACCCTTTAGACTAGGCACCATAAAAAAAAAGATAGAAATAAGTGTAATCTCAAATTAAAGATAGTGTGTTAGAAATTAGAAAATTAACTCTCTTGATAATTTATAATACGTGGATTGGTTCTTATTTTTTTCATAATTTTTAATACTTTCAATTTAAATTAATTGGTTCTTATCTTTTTTTTTTTTTTTAATTAACCAAACAACTAGGTAGATAGTAAATCTTTCAACCTTACTTTTCTCCTCCCTTCAACTTCTCTCAATCTCTCCTTCTTTAGTATGGGATAATTATCAATTTGTAATTCTGAAAATTGAAATGTCAGCATAGGAGTTTATAAATATGATATGAAGTCTACCATATAGGTTGGAGATGGCAATAAACGGATATCCAGCCTCTTAATTCATTTTTTATCATACTAATAAAAAGAATACTATATTCATTATCTATTAAGAAACACTCGTATAAATATTTATCCAGATCCAGTTCACATTAGTTTATTCATCTATTTAATACTCATTTAATACATGCTAAAAATAATTTATAAAAATATTCATTTTAGTTTCATAATTTTTTTTTTAAATTGATCCTTATTATTATTATTATTATTATTATTATTATTATTATTGCATTTTGGTATTTTATTTATAATTTTTTTATCCTCAAAATTTTTTTAAAAAATATTTTGGTCTTTAAATTTTAAAGTTTATTCAATTAGATCCATATATGTTAATAAAAAATCAAAATAAATAAGTGGGTATTAATAGATTAAAGAGTGGATTTCTATATTCTGAAACCATATTAGTATCTATATCTTTTTTCTTTGTCTACTTTAATACCTATTGAATATTTTTAATATGTATTTATTGAGCATATAAAACAAAAATTCATTTTATACCTAATACATTATTACTCCTAGTGTAAGCAGACTTGTTAATAAAGCTCTTCAATCCCACTTATCCCACGGTTCTATACAAATTCTTAATTATCAGGGTTAACTGTAAAAATACCCTTTCCCGTATTGTTGCTGATAAAGATACCTTTCACCCATGGTATCTATCAATTTTATGCTCGATGTTATTAAATATTTTCAATTCTAGCCTTCCATCTACCTTACATCCAAATCCGTTAAGCATATATATACGTGGCAATTCTAAAAATCTTCAGATGAACCAAATTTATTGGTTAAAAGTAAAACGTCAACAGCATTTTTTTCTTTTTCTTTTTTTTCAACTGAAAAGTATTCAAAATTTTGAAGCCCATTTAAACTCGAAAGAATGTTTGGAAATAGAAGTTAAGAAAATTTAAAAAATAACAAAATTTTAATTCCATTTCAAACTCAAAACTAATTTTCTCAAAAAAATAAAAATAAAAAGAATTTTTCAATTATTTGACTGTTAATTTTATTATTTTTACTAGTTTTAAATTTAAAATTCGATATGTCTAAAACATTGAGTTTTTATTTTCTTATTTTTTTTTGTCTAAATAGGGTTCAACTTTTTCTTAAAAAAAAAACATTATTTAATTGGAATTTTTTTATTAACTTTCTTTTTAACTTTTAAACAATAAACTTGATTAACTTAAATCTGGTGAGGTTGCCTCATGTATGTTTAATGGATTTGGATGGAAAGTGAATGGAAGGATATAATTGAATGCATTAGGTAACATTAAGAGTGAAATTGATAGATGTGATAGTTGAAGGGTATCTTTGTTAACAACACATCAGATGAGGGGTTGTTTTGTAGCTACCCCTAATTATTTAGCATACAACTAGTCCGTAACCCCGTAAAAACCCTTATCCGTAACGCAACGTGTATTAGAATAATTCTATATATATATGTATATTAAGAGTAAGTATAATTATCATTTCATCATGAGAAATTAATTCTTGAAATATGTGATTTATGTTAAATTAAAGTTATTGTGCTTAAGATTAATGGTTTAATTATTAAAAAAATCAAATATGCAAAATCAGTGTTTTAAGGACTATATTCTGCCCGAGTTTTGTGTGAATTATTTGAGGACTTTAGTGTAATTTTTGGGTCAACCTTAAAGAATGAAAGTTGTTCATCTATGTGTTGAATAGATCTGTATAAAATTGTATAATATTTAGAC